TTACAAAGATATGCAAGGATTGGATATAGATATCGTGGTGCACAGACTACCTCTGAAAGAAGGTTGCTCTCCAGTTAGGCAGAAGCTCAGAAGAACTCGTCCATACATGTCCAACAAGATTCGAGAAGAGGTTCTTAAACAATTTGACGCAGGGTTCTTAGCGGTGATAAATTATCCACCTTGGATAGCTAACATTGTTCCAGTACCCAAAAAGGACGAAAAAGTACGCATGTGTGTGGATTATCGGGATCTAAACAAAGCAAGTCCTAAAGACGATTTCCCGTTACCTCACATAGATGTTTTGGTGGACAATAAAACTCAAGATTCAATATTCTTATTCATGGACGATTTCTTGGGCTATAATCAAATCAAAATGGCTCCCAAAGATATATAAAAGACTACTTTCATAATACCTTGGGGAACTTTCTGCTACAAGGTAATGCCATTCGGTCTGAAGAATGCAGGGGAAACTTATTAACGGACAATGGGTCCAATATGAACAACAAAATGATCAAGGAGTTATGTGATAATTTCAAAATCGAGCATCATAATTCCTCACCATATAAACCCAAGATGAACGGGGCCATGGAAGCTTCCAATAAAAACATCATGAAGATCATTCAGAAAATTGTGAAGACATACAAAGATTGGCATGAAATGCTTCCATTTACTCTACATGGCTATCGTACTTCATACGCACATCAACAGGTACAACTCCTTTCTCTTTAGTATATGGCATGGAGGCAACACTCCCAGTTGAAATAGTGATTCCATCGCTTATAGTTCTAATGGAAACAAATCTTGAAGAAGCCGAGTGGATTCAGACGCGACTTGATCAACTCAACCTCATTGAAGAGAAGCGCTTGACAAATTTGTGCCACGGTTGATTATATCAAAAGAGGATGAAGAAAGCATTCGGCAAAAAGGTTCGAACTCGAGTATTCAAAGAAGGAGATTTAATGCTCCAAAAGAGTATGCTACCTCGCGTTGGTTCACGCGGTAACTGGACACCCAACTACGAATGTCCATTTATGGTAAAAACAACATTCTTTGGTGGTGGTCTCATCCTCACGACAATGAATGAGGAAAAACTACCACATCTGTAAAATTCAGACACAGTAAAAAAATATTATGTATAAGAAAGCTCGCTAAGTTCGAACCCTAAACGGGTGACTTATGCAGAAAGGAGCGCCCCAGTGAATTGAAAACCCTAAAGGGAGATCCAGGCAAAAACAAGGGGCATACAAAAAAAAAGTTTATCCCGGTGGACTGAAAACCCGAAAGGGAAGTCCAGGCAAAATTTAGGGATCTTATTCAAAGAAATAAAGAACAAAAAGACTACAATCTATAAACTACGACTACAAACCACGAAGGAGAGAGATGGGTCCAAATCATTTTGACCCGGAAGAAAAAGAGATTGGAGCTATCAAAAGGTCATTGGGGAAACAATAGTAACAATTATCATTTTCATTGCCATTTTTAGTTTTAAAACTTTTTGTAATTACCTCTTTCAAGGAATTACATCTTGTACGCTCGCCTACTCAGAGGCATATTTTATCAATAAAACTTTGAAGTTTTTCAAATCTTTCAATGGTGTTTTTTCTTTTCAGACTTGTTTGCAAAATACTACGATTATTTTTGGTGAAATACTGTTTGAAATCATTTTTGGGAATTGACATACAAATAAAAGCATTTGATAAAGGCATAAAAATATTTTGGTTAGAAAAAGGTCAGAAGAAAATCCATGTCTATGTCCATGCCTACGCATGCGCCTGCGATACAAAAATTACATATGACATGTTGTCACTGTTCACCATACTTTATCAAAATTTGAATCAACTTGGAGATACAACAATTAGCAACAAACAACATTGGGGAGTTAGTGATTACGAGAACCCGATGGTTTAACAAAGGAGAATTATCAAAAACATTTGCAAAATACTTGGGGTATACACATACATTTGGGACATATACACACATAATCATTTTGATACATGAGCATTTAAAACACTTGGGGCATATACATACATTTGGTACATATACACCTGCATTTGGGGCATACACATTTAAAATATTGGGGCATGTACATGCATTCCGTACATATGTAAATACCTGGGGCATATATCACACTTAGGTAGCACATCAATTTAGGACATTATGCATATACATCATGCATGGCATCTTACAAAACCACTTTGGTAAAATTGAGAATTTTCTTGGGTCCATCATTAGCAAACTTATCTGTGCGAACTGGATAGTTCAAACTTTAAGCGATTTGAGGTTTATTTCTTCATGTTGATAGTCATGGTTGAGGACGACCCAACCGACATCAGCAATGGATTTGGGGTTTAATTTCTTCATGTTGATAGTCAGGGTTGAGGACGGCACAACCGACATTATCATTATAATTTGGGGTTTATTTTCTTCACGTTTATTGTCATGGTTGATGACGACACATCCGACATCAATGTGAATGTGGGGATTATTCCTTCCTGTTGATAGTCATGGTTGAAGACGACACCACCGACATCATCTGAGAATTTTGGGGTATACTTCTTCATATTGATAGTCATGGTTGAGGATGACACAACTGACATCATAATGAATTTGGGGTTTACTTCTTCATATTGATAGTCATGGTTGAGGATGACACAATCGACATCAATAATGAATTTGGGTATTATTTTCTTCATGATGATAGTCATGATTGAGGATGACACAACCTATATCATCGTGAATTTGCAGTTTATCTTTCATGTTGATAGTCACGGTTGAGGATGACACAACCGACTTCATCGATGAATTTTGGGGTTTATTTTTCATGTTGATAGTCATGGTTGAGGAAGACACAATCGACTTTAGCGATGAATTGAGGTTTTACTTTCGTTGTGTTGATAGTCGTGGTTGGGGGATGACACAACCGAAATTACGAGTGAATCTTGAGGTTTACTTCTTCATGTTGATAATCATGATTGAGGACGACATAACTGAAACCATCAAGGAATTTTGGGTTTATATGCTTCAAATCTAGCATATTTCATTTGGTCATCGAGTCTTCATTGATGGATGACATAACTGACATCGTCTTTCCATGTTCCAAATATCTGGTTTCAAGCTCGTATTATCTATCCTCTAGACTGTGGTAGGTATACAAAAAAAATATTTGGCTCATTACGTTAGTCTCAAAGTAGAAATAAGTTATCTTTCTCGGCGATATAATTCATTATGTTAGTCTACATGCAGCAATGTGTTATCAAGCTATATGTTATTCATCCCCTAGGTTACGATGAATATACAAAATCCGCGTCACAAACTTACTATATTAGTCTCCAAGCATTAGTAAGTCAGCTTTTCAAACCTGTATCATTTACCTCATAGTTTACGGTAAATACGCAAAAGAATCTACAATCTCTTAAATAAGGACGAGTTATCCTCGTCGTCATATCTAAGTTCTATAAAAAACTTTGGTTCAAACGCGGGTAAGATGATACATCATCATCTAAGCTTATTCTTCATACCCATGGGAGTGCTGTATAGCGTATCCTTATAATCTTCCAGACAAATTTTGGGGTCTTCCAATATTTAATAAACTTCTAATTAGAACATGCGAGACCTATGTATTCTTGCACTATTCAATCAAAATATGATTAAATAGGGGCAACTGTCATACCCTTAATTTACCTGCCCTTAGTGCTTCCGTCAAGTTTATTTTCAAACTTGGATTTTTATAAATTTCTTTTGATTTACATTAATATTTCGTGGTTTTATAAATATTTGTTCTCAAAGTCTATTTAAAAATAGAATAATTTATTTCAAATTATTTGTATTTTTTTAAAATATAACAAACACTTTCTCGTCTCCATATACTTTTAATTGCATTTATATTTCAAATAAACAAGATAATACAATTGGTAAAGAATGTAGCTTGCAAGTATGAGGTCATGCGTTTGAATCTCACTTGGTGGAATTTGTATATTTTTTGTTTATTTATTACTAACTATTTATATTTTTAACCATAAAAAGTCATTCTTTTTATTAATTAAATATTATTTTATTTTTATAATTAAGGCGTTTTTAAAAATAGTTATTTATTTGATTTTATGCACTTTTTACCAAAATTGAGTGCAATAATTATAATAAATATAAAAAATATTGCCTTTTTGTAATTAATTGGTTCTTATTAGTCAAATGGTATCATTTTATGTCATACTCAATCTCTAATTGGTTAGCTTACTGATCAAGAAATTTTTTATTGGCCAACTAATTTTATTTCCTAATTTATTGACCTAATTATCACTATAAATAGGTCACTCTTTCACGCTGTTAGAACATGAACAATTCTTACAATGTTACTACACTTATACTATTTTCAACTTTCACTTTCACACATTTTTTCAATCTCTTTTCAAGGTTTCTTTTCAAATTGTTTTTTGGCCGATGATTTAATATGAGGCCCCTGTTTTCAATATTTTTTATTTAATTTATTTGTTCTTGTTTTTCAACAAAATAATGATTCTTGACGGTTGTTTATTTCTTTAAAATTATTTTGTTTATATCAACAATTTCACCTACAATCATTCACTAGGATAACACCTATAATTTTTCTCACACTACAAATCTCTCACAAGCCATTTCGTACATACATTCTTACACCATAAAATTATTAAATTATTCTACATAGATCTTCCCCTTATACACTATACTCACAAACACGTTCTTATGAACTATTATTTTATACTAATAACAAACTTATTTTTTTAGTAATAATAAACTCTTAATTTTAATTGTGAGTCTTATATTGTAAGTTTTTTTTTATATATAAAGATCAACTCACAAATTGATCAACTTTCTACACAAAATATTGGCATAATTTTTCTACACAAAACACAAATTCAAAATTTTAAAATCATTAGCACTAACCATCAAATCTCCTGCAATTTTTTTTTTAAATTTTTTTACAGCAACTATAATACAAAAGGTGAAACCAATAAAGAAGGAAAATGAAGTTGAAGAGAGAGGATATGTGGTGCCGACCGTCCACCGCCGACCTCTCTCTGTTTCAGATCTACTCCTCTACAAATCACTTCGGATATCCTCCGATTCGCATAACCACTTGTGCATCACTCCAGATCCACCACCATAATTTTTCGGTAACTCTTTTGTTTTCATTGACGCTATATTAAAATTGGGATTTTCTTTATTTTTTTGTTTGAATCATTTTGAGATGGGTTGTGAAGGAAATTTTAGAAGAAGAAAAGTGTTGTTGTTACCATAAATAACCATGTGAGGAAGAGAGTGGAGTTTATATTCTCTCTCACATTTTATTGCCATTTTTTCTTTGTTAGTTTTTTATATTATTACATGCAATGCCATGTGTCAAGTTTCGATTGGGTATTATTTTATTTTGAAAAGTCAAATTCATTTATCATTTAGAATGAGAAGTAGGTGGTGCCCTTAATTATAATGCTCCCAAGTATGTTTATTTTTTCCTATTACTATTATTATTATAGGAATTTGGGTTTACAAATTTATTTGAGCCTTGGTCCCTAACTTTATATCTTGCATTCCAATTTACACCCCTTACTGCTCACACCCCCTCATTTAACTGCGAAGTGTACAAATGCACCCGTTGCCTTTTGGACCTGAATTCAATATCTGAATTCAGGCCCATGCTGTTAGCACCCCCTAATTTTACTTTTCAACTAAATTCATACTCTCCTGTATTTTTATTTTATTTTCTTTATTATTTATTTTATTATTTTTATATTTTCTATTTTTATATATAATTATAATATTATATTAATTATTACTATTATTAAATAATATTTTTTAAACATCATTCAAATATTATTTATTTTATTGCATTAAATTATTTTAAATCATGCATTAAATAAGATATTTTTCACAATTAATACATAAAAAATACTCAAGCAAACACCAAACAATTTTTCATAAATAAATTAATTTAATAATTAATTTTCGAAAAAGGAGTACGAAGCATATTTTAATTAACTGCACATTTGGTTCAAAATTTTCGCTATTCACACACCTGGGCTAAGTGCGAGAGAAATTAAAATATCTCCGTAATCCATAAAAACACAAACCCATACGAACTACGAATTGAGACTCTGATTTCTCATAAGAGGATACATAGGCATACGACTTAAAATGGTGATGAGCTCCCCTATTAAAAATTAAAACCCTTACCCTAAACCTTTAAAACCTAAACCTTGGTATCCTTGCGAACAAGGTAGATGAGTGGTGCCTAACACCTCCTCTTCGTCTAAACGAAGTAAGAACCTAGAATCTTTGTGTATAAAATTAGGGTTTCCTATTAGATCCCCTTCCTTAGGATAAAAACTAGTAGTGGTGACTTGATTTAAAATTCAGTTACAACACAATGCAACAAATAATGCAATGCAACATCATTAGAGTCATGCATGTGGTACCAAAACTTCATTGATGACTTAGTCATCGTTATCTCCAAATATTCCCACCAATAGGATCGGTTCCCACTTAGAACCAGAGCACATCATAATTTGCACACAATCCACATAATATGATTGAGGCCATCACTGGACTAACATCCTAACATCACTGGATAATGTCCTATCATCATTGGATAAATATCTTTAAAACTTCACTAGACAAAATCCCTACAAATGCTATGAATGCATGATGCGCAACATAATATAAGACATGACCACGACTAGTCAAAACACGTCATCATTCCTCATATTTATCATAGTTTATCACATGCTTCATATTACACACATCATCATCATCACAACATCATCAATTCATCATAGAACATACGTCAAGTCATGATAAGACATAGTTAAATTAATTCACAATAAAAAGGCATTACTTATTGTTATATCACTCGGGACTGCTTAGGTCGACTCTTAGTTCGACTCATACTGAGTCTTTGGGCATGCCTTAGTCGACTCAAAGCCCTACTCAAGTTGACGCGTAGGTCATGTTTTTGGAATATGTCTTCCTCGGGTGTGCTCAGATCAACCCCCCATGTCTTCAGGCTGATGCATCACTAGTTTGTGCTAAATTTCTCTATTGTTTTGTGTTTCTCATGGATGCAAATTCCTGCACCAACGCAGACCCTATTCCACTCAAATCTAACACAGTAAAACCTCAAAATCATCATAATTCCTTATATTTACCTCATACAAGAACAACTTAATTCATTATACATCCTATGCATCAATTGGAAGCAATTAGTACATCAAATATAAGCCTAATAACCCTACAATTATCTAAGCCTTAAATCAAATATAATAACAATGATAAAACTCCCCTTACCTTAATTCATATTTGATCCGACTTCTTTTCGCGTTCTACCGAAATCCAAGGTTCATATTGCCTCTTTGTTCCCTAGTGTGATCGGTGGGAACGAGAAGTGATTGTTTTTGGAATGCTGGTTCGCGTTTGCGTTTGTTTTCTCAAAGTGTCGCGGTAAGCAAGAGTCGCCACCGTCTTTTATTTTATCCAACAAGGGAAAGGACAAAAGCACAGAAAAATTCCTTTTCGAGATGTTTCTCGGGTTCGGGAGGTAGATTATAGAAAGGGAAGGTGTTAGCACCCTTTCTATCTGTGGTTATCCACGGGCTCTTAGGTACTTGCTCACTATGTTTTCAAAAGGTTTGCTTTTCTTTGTGATTGTGGGTTTTAAAAAGAATTTTGTTTTTGAAGAAAGTATAAGTGCGAAAAGTTTTTGTTTTGTTTTTAAAAGAGAGCAAGTACTTAAGAACCTCTACCTACTCAAAAAGAAATTTAATTGTGCAAATGTCCTTTAGACAATACTATCCTACTATTGAGGAGTAGGTAGCACCTTCGTCTGAGTTTTTGGGTCAATTCGATTTTAGGGACGCGTGGTCACTAAAGCAACGTTAGGACGCTTTAGTGGTAATCCTAATGTCTTAGATCATTTTTATCGAGGAGACCATTTCGAGGCAACTTATGATCTTGGGACAAAGGACGACCTGTAAAACATCCTATACTTAATGACCACGTTCGAGGCAACCAAGTGAGGTGTACCCTAAGAGTGGCATGTGCATGTGTCAATTTTCAGTTTATATTATCTTTGTACATGTTATGGTGAGCTACTGTTGATTTTAAGTTAAGACAGATCTTGTCATACAATCCTAGTTAGCATACATCTAAACAGTTAATATATGTACATGAATTTAAAGTGCAGAAATTGTAAATCCTACGCTATTACAAGGCTTCGGGGAGGGGGATTATTTACATGTCCAAAAATTGGGGGAATAAAGGCAATAAAGTAAAAGTTTAAGCTAAACTATTACAAACCAGTAAGCAGTTACAATAAAATAGACACGCGTAAAACAAGGAAAAGAGGCGTCTAAGAAATTTCTAAATAAATAAGAAAATCTTTTTTTGTTGTTTTTGGTTAAGAAAATATTTGAATTAAATAATCCTAGGTCTAGTTTATTTTAAATTGATAAAATGAAGTTAAAATAATTAATTAATTTGTTTACAAAATTAATTTGAATAAAAAAACTAACCTAATGTTTTTTGTGATTTTTTTGACTTAAAGTTAATTTAAATGATAAGGTCAATAAAGAAATAACGAAAACAAAAAATAAAAATACAAAGGGCATCCTTCGATCCAGGGAAAAAAGGACTTTCGACCCAGGGAGGGAAATGGTCCTTTCGTGAGTAGCCTTCGATCCAGGGAAGAGGATTGTCTTTCGATCATGGAGGTCATGGCTTTCGATCCAAGAATGAGATGCCTCCTTCGATCCAGCATGCTAATGGGTTCGATCCAGAGAAGGGCTCTCCTTCGATCTGGGATGTTATACCTGCAAAAGCATGTTAGCGAAATAAAATACAGGGCCTGGGTATTGAACCCCAGGCCCTTCAATCCTGCACTTGCTGGGTCTCTTCAGGCTATGTCTGCAGCAAATATTAGCAAATGATGGACATGGCCTGGGTGCCAAACCCAGGCCCTTTGATCCTGTCTAGGATGGCAAATCGAAAGTAACAACGAGTAATGATATGTTATGCGAAAAACAAGGTTGGATAATTTACCCTTTCTTACCAACAGATTGGACTTTCGATTTGGGCGCTTCCTGGATGTAGGCACCTTCGATCTGGGCTTCTGGGCTTGGCTACTTATGAAAATGCTGATGACTTTTGGGCAGCGTAACTCCAATGTCTTTTGTTCTCCTGTTGTGTGATTTTCGTTGTGTATTCTCCTGCAGAGTTTTTGTGTGTGTTGTATATTTTCGTGTGTATATTTTCTGTCTTGGTAATGTATGCTGGCCTCTGTATTTATAGGGGTGTGAGGGTGCAGTAATGGCAAGGGACAACCATTAAACATGCCATTAAATCCATGAGACAAGAATAAGACACATTAAATAATTTCCTTTTTTGAAACATTCGTGTCCCTTGAATGAACCTGGACGCTTTTGGATTTCGAATGCTTTCAGGCCATGCTCTTCGATTAGTCCTGATTTGCCTCTTTCGAATGGGCTCCCTGCGTACCCTTCGAATGGGCCTGGCCCAAATATCAATCGAAGGATTCCAATCGAAAGGCTCTGCTAACAGGCCAATCAAAAGGTGTTGTTCATGCCAATCGAAGGACATGGTTGACATGCCTGTCGAAATTGCCTTGACATAATTCCAATCGAATGCTTGTCCATAATGCCAATCGAAAGACTCCTTCAGAATGCCAATCGAAGGGTCTTTCAGGATGCCAATCGAAATGCTTGTCCAGAATGTCAATCGAAGTGTCTTTCAGGATGCCAACCGAAAGGTACTTAAAGTACCACTCAAAAATCTTCTTTTTCCTTAGGCAAGAGTTTGTGATCAACCATGTAGGGGGAAGGCTTTGGAAAACATGCGAGGGCAAATTTTGGGGTGCAACACCTAGCCTTCTCTTCACGGTGTTTCTCCCAATTCTTATGATTGCATAGAATGAGACAACTAACTATTTTCCCTAGTTTTAACCCTTGGACCCTTTTTATTGACTTCCCATATTACCATCACTTACACTTCACAAATTCCCACCTTTCCCTTATCATCTCTAACACTAAAATAACTCTTATTTTTCTAATTAAAATAATTCCACTTTTTGTTCTAATTATTATAAATTATTCTATAATACTCCAAAATACCTCAATACACCTAAGAATCACACAAATCA